TAAGATGTTTAGGGGGGGGGTCCAAAAATCGTTCACTAGGACAGACCCTTGAATCGCCTACCCCCTGTACAGTTCCAATAATTCATCCATAAATTTGATCTTTTCTAGTAGATCGTTTTTGAGCACAGTTATTTCCGGTCATCTTGGAAAGTCCAATTCCTCTTAGACAATTTCAGTGGAGAATTACTAATCCTCAAGATAAATGCTAACCCCATTTTTTTCGCCTATGACTGCCGAAAAATATCACTGCGCCCAATGAGCACCTTTTTATCACCATCCCCTATTAATTACGGTTCTACAATTAAAAACAAAACCAAAATCGATAAAATTTTAAGTTAAAAGGCGAAACTGAGTGTTTCATAGCCTTATAAATTCAATGTGGCTCAAGGTTTTTTATATTACTTACATGTTATATAAAATTTATTCCATGAACCATTACTTTTACATCATTCTCGTTACACACTTTTGCAGCTCAATGCTGTTAGAAGAAAATACAGAATAAACTTTGTACTTCAAATCTTGTCAGTTCATATAGAATAAAGCAGAATTGGTAAACATATATAAACCTTTTTAGACACCATATATAGAATTTGAAATTTCTTTGAATTATAAAAGCTACTTTTTTCAGACATAATGCCGACTATTTCGATCAAAAGGGAAATTCTTTTCCAAGGTTTAGGACAGGTACCGTTTAAAAATTTTTATAAATATTAACTAATATTTTATTTTGATTTAATTACCAAAAATGCAAAATGTGTAAAATGTCCTAGATGCAGCTATCGGCCCAGAAATAGTCTTTCCCTAACCAACTCTATAATATAAACACCTACAAATCGATTAAAAATGATGTACAAAATAGAAAGGAGGGGTAACCGGGGCGAGGGGGGTCCAAAAATCGTTATGACAGACCCGAATTCTTTAAAACAACTCTTATTTTAGAGGTATACCGAGGAGGAGTTTGATGAACTCTGTTTTGAGTTTGGACTAGAGCTGGATGAGGTAGTGACGGAGAAGGATGACCAGGGCAAGGATGAAATAGTTTACAAGGAATATTCAGTCATCTATTTTTATACTTTGCTTGTCTGTTTGTATCCAATAAGCGTCAAAACTTTAGAACCGTTCGGCCCCAAATTTTGTGTGGACCTCACATGACCCCATGTTAATCTGCAAAAAAAAAATTTAATATTGTTTCATTGAACAGAAAATGCTGAAAGCTCGAGCAATAATTAAAAATTGTAATAGAAGATGTGCTCCCCAATTTTAATTTGAACCTAGAAAAGTAAACCAGGAACTGAAGTTTTCATGTAATCAAATAAATGTACTCTGAGGCTGAATTTTAAGAATTTGAGCCGCAGCCTAAATTTGAGACGCGGCTCAAATATGGTTGGTTCCACTTAAAGTAGTATTAGATTTTTCAAGATTTAAGCCGGCGCTCAATTGAAACCGGTTTTTGGCGGATTTGAGATGTGGCTCAAATGCATTAAATTCGGACTCAGGAGTTTCTGGAAGAAATACAAACTGAACTGAACCCACAAATGATTTTATGACGACTTTATACTCTTTAAATATGTCAATTTGAAGGTATAATTTACATGGAGTATTGCTTTTAAAATAGTGTCTTAAAGATTTATTTACGAATTTGGCAATGGTAATGAAACTTATGAAGCTGTGAGTAATAATAATATATGAAAAAAAATTCATACACTCCTCTCTGAAGTCTCGACCGCTGTGGGTTTCCCCGAGTTTGTTAATTTAAGTTTTTTAAGTATTCAGGATCCTATTGTATCTTCCTTAATTTTCCATCAATAGATTTTTATTTTGTTTCGAATTTGAATATTTTGTCTGACGACGACTGAAGAAATGATGTTAGATCGAGATCGGAGCTAATCGGTATGATCTGCTTTGTGTGGAAGGAATGGTTCGGTCCCTCCTTGTATTCCAATCCAAGATTAAAGTTCCAAGGTGAGATATATTTACAGGGAGGGATGTAAATTATCTTTAAAAATCACCCCCCCCTTTTTTGAAAATTATGTTCATAAATTTGTTATGAATTTGTTCGGTTAATTGAGAAAATTAATGATTTTTAAGGCAAAATAAATCTACAGTTAACACAATTACTTAGTACTTAAAAATAAAAACATTGTCTTTTGATCTCCAACTTTTCATTTGTTCCCCAGAGCATCAAAATCACCCCCTTC